CGCAAAGCAGTGTGGGGGTAGCAGCTGGAGGATTCAGCATTGTGTGCTGAATAAGATATATTATATTGCAACAGCATTGTGTGCACACGAACAATAGCCTGGACTAACTCACTTCACAGCAGAGTTATTTCAATTTGAAAGAGGACTTCAGAGTTTGCAATAAATATGGAGTCAGTGCACTACAATGAATTGTGTCGTCTGTATGCAAGTGTTTTAAAATTGGATTAATTCCATTTAGTTCTAGAATGGCATTTAAATATTTTTATTATTATATGATTTCTTATTTACAAGCTGCCAAGGAGCTTAGGTCATTATAAACCTTAGTAATTGAGTTATCATGATCTAATGGCTTGTGTTACACTCTGTGTAGCGTGCATTTGGTTTTTGCATTAATGTGCTGTGGTGGTGTTCTGCGTCTGCTTCAGTCATCCATTTGCAATGGGATCTAGTTTCAAACATAGTGGAAGTTATGCATAGCAATGTTTCTAAAAGCCAAGGTCTAAAAGGTCATACGAATTTGCTAAAAGGTTCTTTTCAGTGCAATAAATGAATGCTGTGGATGTTATCCTGGAAGATGCCCAGTGTGTTCAGCTCCCTGTACACTTGGAGCTAATGGTAATGAGTACCTTGCAAGATGTCCAGCGCTTTCAGGACTGGGCCATTCATTTCTTTGAGCAAACAGGAGTTAGAACACTTTTTATTAAAATGATTACTCAAGGAGGATCCTAGAGATTCCTGCTCCACCCACCACTGGTCACTCTTGTTTTCACTTCAGAAGATTTACTTCCTGCAGACTTTTTTTTTCCCTTCAAGCTGTGAGTTCTCTCTAGTCTGTTCTTTAGTGGGGTTTTCATTAGGATATAAGTAACTTCCAAAACTCAGGGTGAGTAGTGTTGCTTCACCCAATCAGCTCTCACCCTGGAGGATTTTACCAGGGCAGTAGATTTCTAAGATGATGCTTGGCTGCATGTTCCAGTCAGAGCAAGTCACAGAGTAATCCTCAGATAATTATTCTTTCAATATAAATCCCTCTCTTTCTACTTCTCCTCTTAAACTATTTTTAAAAAGTCATGTCTATAACAATAACAGCCCTCACATTATAACAAGGGAGTCTTTTCCTCTTAATTGGGCAACATACTCCTTCATGCAAAATCTGTCATTGCCAGATATCCTCACTGCCCAGGCCCTGAAATGCCTGCAGGATCGTGGGCTTTGTAATTAACTGGGAAAAGAGCAGCCTCTCCTCACCACAGAGAATTCTGTACATAGCTGTAAAAATAAACTCAATGTAGAGGAAGATGTTTCTGTCACAGGAAAGGAAGGATTCTTTGATTGCAGAATTGACTAAAGATGAAGAAAGGAGAAGGCTGACTGCTTGATTGCATACAAACAGGGATTGCTCATAATTGTCTTCTAATCAAGTCTTAAATAATGTTAAAAAAACAAACAATAAATGTATGTGATAAGCACGCACTTTTGAAATGGTTCAGCTCCGATCTGGAAATTGATTGGTTATCACTGGCATGACTGATGAGTGATTAGCGGATCCCCTCTGTCACAGAGCAGCTTTTCTCTTATCACCAAAGGTATCTCTACACTGCAAGGGAAGCTGCAATAGTAGTGCAGGTCGCCATATCCCTGCTAACTTTAATCTAGCTAGCATAGTCCTAGGTAACAATAGCAGGGTGGACATGGCAGCACGGGCTTCACCATGGGCTAGCAACCCTTCTGGGGTGCCTGCGAATGTGCTCTTGTTTCTAGCCCCTTCTGAGGTCCATGCTGCCACATCTACATTGCTATTGTTACCTGCTTCCACTGCTACAGTCACACCTTTACATGCAATGTAGACACACCCTCAGCGACTTGGATGGTTTCCTGTTTTTCCATGTTACAGAACATAAGGGGAGCTACAAAAACTATTTATAGAACATTGGTCACTGTCACCCGGCATCATGTTCATTCTGTCAGGCCACGCAATGGGGTTAGTCCCTGAGCTGGTAGATGGAGAGGAACAGAACTTCTCTCTTCTATTTCCCTGCCAGAGAAATCATTACAGTGGCTGCAAGCCTGGCAAATTGAGGTGTACTCTTAGGACATAATTATGTCCTTGCCATTAATGGGAAGAGGGTGCAGAGTGGAGTTGTAAAGAGAGTATTGGTAAAATAAAGGACAGAGAGAGGGAATACCATGAGTACAGACAAAGAAAAATTGTAACCATATAACTGAGACAGAATCGAGAAGTAGTCATGAAAAGCGGGTTAAGTCACACAGTCCTGATGTACAGTATAACATACTGTAAGCAAGTCCATTGCAATGGAGCTTAAAAAGAAAGCAGCACTGACAGCACAAAGTAGGGTTAGAAAATAATGATGTACAGCTAATATAATTTCAGATGGTAAAAGAACATTGAGCTAAAACAGAAGGCAGGAGAAATCTCAAACATACAGGCAAGTAGACACAGAGCATCTATCACAGTATAGTTGTTATGCCAAATTTCACGAAAGCTTATGCTCAAATAAATTGGTTAATCGCTAAGGTGCCACAAGTACTCCTTTTCCTTTTGCGGATACAGACTAACACGGCTGCTCCTCTGAAACCTGACAAAATGAACTGTTATAGTACAGTCTACATTCTAAAATGCTAGTGCCATGTTTGTGCATGTTCACAGAATTATGAAATTTTCCACTTTTTTCTGAATTAAGTTAAAAGCTGGCTGTCTTGTTGTTTATGCAATTTCATTAAGTAATGTTGAAGCTGACTAATAACTTACTTCTAGAGTGTGACATGTTGAGGCCTGATGCTCCCGCTGTATGTGATTTTTCCAGAATAGGGGCTAGGAAATGTACGTTTTCATTCATCAGGTTTCTTCTAGTAGTTTTCTATCAGGGTGTTAGGTTTTGTTGTTCCTCTCAGCCACCACAGAAATGGAAGGAAGATCAGATCCAGCCATTATCTTAATTCCCCACTGAAAGATAAAGAAATACATCCAATTCCCCAAAATCCCACCTGATGTTTGTGGGAGTCAGGAGAGGCAAGTGTCATCCATGAGCAAGCTCTGTTTCTTCTCATTGGCACTAGGCCCCATTGCTAAAAGTTTCTGTAAAGCTGCTTCCCTCTGGCTTCTCCCCTCAGGGATTTCACAGTGTGGACGGGAGGCCTTGATCCTGCACCTTGATTTCAGTGGCAGAGTTCCCATTGGCTTCAGTGGTGCAGGATCAGATCCTTAGGAAAGATGCTGTAACCAGGTCAATTCCTGTTAAAACTGCCTTGCTCCCAGGGACACTACAGAGGGCAAAGGGGCTTCTCTGATGTTAGGGGAAAAGTGGAGCATGCTGCAGAGTTGGCACTTGCCCCTTCCCCCCCATGCCACATCCTCTGGGTTATGCTACCCTGTACTTGTCAGAGGGCAGCATGGACCCTTTAAGCATTAATATGGAATAAACAGATATTTTTTCCCAAGCCATAACTAGGTATGTGAATGGCATCTCCCTTTATTTTTGGAGATGTTTAAACAGGTGTGCAATGCAGATATTGGGAGGTCAGCAGTATCTGTGACCCACAGCAGTGAAAATCTTTCTTGAGCCTTTATAGAAAAAAAGAGGGGAAAGAAATTATGTGTACTGACAAAATGTGACTACAGACAGGATGTGATGTAGACATTTATAGAAGAAATTATATCAACCAATAGATAACCAGGAGCTTTACCTTCAGTAAATGCAGTGGCTAGTGTGGTACTAATGATAATAAAAGAAAAAGACATTTACTGCATGGTAGTATTTATCTTTACCATGGTATTTTTGTTTTTTTCTAACTTAGAATTGGAAATAACAACAATACTTCACCTTATAAAATGACAGGTTTCAGAGTAACAGCCGTGTTAGTCTGTATTCGCAAAAAGAAAAGGAGTACTTGTGGCACCTTAGAGACTAACCAATTTATTTGAGCATGAGCTTTCGTGAGCTACAGCTCACTTCATCAGATGCATCTGATGAAGTGAGCTGTAGCTCACGAAAGCTCATGCTCAAATAAATTGGTTAGTCTCTAAGGTGCCACAAGTACTCCTTTTCTTTTCACCTTATAAAGCTCTTTTTATGCATAGATCTTTTCAAGTGCTTTTCAAGTGATGCAAAGTGCTTTTCAAGGGAAGAGAAAATATCATCCTCATTTCTCAGATGGAGAAACTAAGGTATTAAGAGATGAAGTGACTTAGTTAATGTCACACACCATGCCAGTGGCAGAATCAGGCATAGAATCCAGTTCTTCTGGCTCCAACTACAATGTCCTATTCACTGGACTGTGCTGTCACCCAAAGCCACAGTAAATTTAACTACTGGTAGAGACAAAAGTTCAGTTTTTCATCATGCCTGCCATGTATAAAGCATGAACATCATATCCTTTCTGCCTTGGCGAATTAACTCACTTTCCTTTAGTGAGATTTCTATTCTTTCAGCTTTCCCAGTGCCTACAAAACCAAAACTGCTCCTGGCTTTGGATATTGATATACTGCCACAACCTGCTATCATGCCACCCCGCAGAGACTGAATACTATTATTGTAAACAAGCACAAAAAAACAAACAAACAAAAAAAACCCACACCTGTAAGAGGAGCAGATCTAAAGCAACACCTACAGAAGAAATAGCCTTTATAAATAATCTCAGAGTGGAGATTACAAGTAACAAGTAGATGTCATTTATCAGAAGTTTCTTTAGTGGTGCATTATATTTTATTATGGTGCACAATTCAGAAAAAAATACATTGAACTTTTGCACACTGTCATATTTTTGTCTGAATCAAGACTTTAGTATTAGCCATGTAGTCTATTTATTAGCCTTTAACATACCATTACTGTTTATGTTCTCCACTGTTCTTGTCTGGTGTATATTTCTCTACAGATACAGGATATAGTTGTGAAAAATGTATTTTATGTGCATACTATATATTTCTAAAGATACATGTGCCAGCCAATACCCTGTTAATGGTATGAACTTTAATTTCACAGATGAAAGAACTTGGTGTCATTGTGTACAACTGCAGCTGCCTCGTCCTAGATTTACAAAGGATATTTGCCTTGTATAGCTCATTAAAATACAAGAATAAAGTGCCTCCAAGTTGGTCTAAGAGATTGTATGGGGTATATGATACCCAAAATAAACTGATGCTGCAGCTGAATGAGACAAAATCAGAAGTCTTTGTGTCGGTGAGTTCTTAAGAGAATATCTGTTCTTTGCCTGTTTCAGAGGGAGGGGGGGCAGTATTATGTAACACTCGAGTTTTATTGGGACCCAGAAATTTGGCTTCAGTTGAACCTTCTATTACAACATTGTCTTTACTGCGTAACTGAATAGAGACGTTGGGTTAGTCTGGTGTTTAATACCATACATGTAAAATATCACATGTCTTTTCACACACACAAAAAGACAGAACACATGTTTACAGAACATGTGAATAACTACCATGATGCTGCTTACTGCCTGACAGCAGCTCACTTCCGAAAGACTCGTCTCTACGCGTGCTCCAGCGCTCTTGTGTACCCAATGTTCTCTACGTATAACCTTTCCGCTTTTAGGTTTTTAACACCCTGGAAGCATTCCTATTCAGGAAAGCACTTAAGTCCTTGAGAAATAATGGAACTTAAGCACATGCTCAAGTATTTCTCTGAAATGTGGCCTAACAAGAATATACATACCAGGATTTTTCATTAACCAAGAGAAGCTGTTGAAATTGAGAGTCATGGCAGTGACTGAAACTGAGCTACAGAAAAAGTACCATAGTTATCAACTGTGCATGGGAAATCGTTGGTTGCTGACAGACTGGATCACTTTCTCCTCAGGGGAGAAAATAACCATTTCAATAGGTTTATTGTTTGTGGGGAAAATCTGTAACCAAATGTGGAGAAATCCATACTTTTTTCCCCACTTTTCATATTACACGGACGCAAAGAATAGTAAAGTCACTCTGATTTTCATGACATTTTAACTACATGTGGAGCACTGTCATGAATGTAGAGCATTGAAAATTAATTTTTGTATTATTACTCTTTCCTTGTACTGTAATTCTCAACATTGTTCCTTAAAGGCAAGGAACAACAGGAGAGCCCTCATGTCGCTAACTTATTATCTGTACGTTTCAGCTTAGCAAAGAATTTGTAGCTAAATGGATTAACTTTGAATCTAATATTTTAATTATAGCTAGTCCAAATCCTGTTACATTTTTGCTAAAATTAGAGCCCAGTATCTGTTTTTTGCAATGTGACTTTTGGTTGATTAATTATCATAATCATCTTATTAACGTAGCACTTCTTCTACATCCCCATGAATGCATTCAGAGTGCTATATAACAACAGAAACTTTTATTTATAGATCATTTAAACATCTCCAACATCGAAACAACTAAAACTGGTTGAGAATGCCCAGTACGAATAGGAGAGGAGGGGAAAGGGATAGGAGAAAGTTAAAAGACCCAGCATATTAAAAAGCTGTTTTTTAATGGGGAGAAATGGACTGAGATGGAAGAATAGAATGCACTCTTGGACTCCCCACAGCAAAGGCATGATTCCCTGTCCACCTAATGTGCAATGGTTGAATCCCTGAAAGGTAGCTGGTATGTGAGCGCATATACCTATTGAGAAGATGCTCAAGGAAGATCTCAAACAGAGCCAGGGCCAACGCCATTAAGGACTTTAAAAACACCACCACCAAGTTAGTCAGTCTGAGACTTTATAAGCAGATGTAGTGTGGGTGTAATACGATTTTAGTTGTTCAAACCAATTTTCAAACCTGCTGCCCCATTCTGAACAAATGGTGAGTCCTGGTGAAATCCTTTCTTGGAGGAGAATACAGTAATGAGCCAGTAGTCACAGAGAATGTATTGCTCTTACGAGGTTCTCATAGGGCAAAGAATGACACACCCTGAGCAAGTGGAGTGTGGAGGGAAAGATACCTTTCATACCACATTTAGCATGGTCGTGAGTGAAAGTGAAGCCAAGTATTTCCAAACAAGTCCTCTTGATAAATGCATGCATGAAAGAAGAGAGCACATCCTCATGCTGCAATCCTTAACCTACCAGCGACTCTCCCCTTTCCCACGAGCGAATCCACTCCAACGCGCCCAGCTGCCGTATCATACCAGCGTTTCTCCTGGGTGGAGACTAAACATGTAGGGCCTATAGGACAATTATATATCACCAGCTAACTGTCCTCAGTTTTGAAATGACCTCTGCAAGAGGCCTTATATACACTGAAGACAATGGGAGCTAGGATAGACCTACAATGGATATTGCACTTCAGTTTTCTCAGTGAGACCCCATAATTGATATTGATTGATACTTACCATCTAGTTTTGACTTGAACCATGGAAGGGTAGTTCTACACCACCTCACCTTCCTTCCCTCCCCCATCCACTGTGCTGCACTTTCTCCTGATAAATCTTCTTTTCTTCATGTTTGCTTTTTTTCCTATACCACAATGTTGTCCAGGAAGTGGGAATGAGAAGGAAAGAAAGATGCGGTTTCCAGAATCAGATTCTTCCCTTCTTGAAAACAGGATTTTCAATATATCATTTCTCGCACCAAGCATCTCAAGGTCTAAGAAAGGAACTGCAGAAGTATTCTATAGCCCGTTGAAAGGACACAGAGAAGTTATGCTATTAGTGTCTAGTTATCCAAGCTGGAATTTGGCCAGGGCAGCAATCCTAATCCTGGGGGGAAAAAATGCCCTGGGATCTTTAATGACCACAGGTGGTCAGAAATTTATTTGTATGTCTCTCCTGTAATCATGTTAACAATGTCGTAATGGACAGTTTGCATTTCGTATCTGTGCACAGACATGAATGTTAGTGATAGTTTTACAATGTTTTTTTTGCAACGGTGCCAATGATGGGACTATAGGAAGTCCAACATATACCCTTTCCTGTGGAAAATAAACATGGTAGACAAGTCTATTACCTTTACTCTCCCAATTTACGCTGGACTCAAAATGCCTCTGGATCAACAATAGTTATCAAACTGCTTACAAGAGAGATTGCAGCAGCTCTGGATTCTGTAGCTAGTTTGTCTTTTTGCTGTTAACTTGTACCCCTGAGCATTTCTAGAGAGAAAATAGTCGGTTATCTTTGGAGTAAATCAAATTGTGTATACAATATCCTGAGAAAACAGATTCAGATAATAGAAATAAATCACCTAAGTGATATTTTTTTATTTTTTACCTTGCTTCGTGAATCTAAATTCATTGTCTTAAAAATTCTTCTCTTCCAGTCTTTCTTGCTGTGTAAGATGTGAACATCACAGTAAATCAATGATTCTCCATTCAGGAATCCTCATGGTACAGTTGCTTAGCAACAGTACAGTCTTCCTGAGTGGCTGAGAGAGACAAAAGAAAATGCAGTTGCTTTTTTTGAGGATTCGGGGCTCAGTCCAGGGAGAGCATGGATACTCTGAACTGCCAATGATTTTAATTACTCTACTATGTATTTTTTTATTATTAAAATAACACTTAGGAACACCAATCAAGGATCAGGGCCCCATTGTGCTTGTTACTGTACTGACAAATAAAGAAGAAAGACTCTGTACCAGACAGACCACAGTAGATTAGTTGTCAGTATGCAACATGTGGACAAAGCAGACAAAGAGAGTGGGGGAAGGTAGGAAGATGAGGTAACAAAATAAAGAGTTTAGCATGTTCCCCACTTGTCTAAGCAATGCCTGATGATTTGTAGACAACATGAATGAGGGACGTTTTAAAGGTTAGACCCTTGTTAGACCTTTCACCAACGGTGATTTTCTTAGCAATGTGTTACCTGGCATGAAACAGTAAACAGGTTAAGGTCATAAACACTAATTCATAACATTGATGAATGATGTGCCCTGTTAGTGTTGTGGCCAGGATACATCTACTACTTTGTAATGTAACCAGTACTGTGAATCTTTAAAGCATAATCCTGTGATGTGTCATGTAACACCTTCCTCTCAAGTAGAGCTACTTTGATAGCAATGGCTATTTTCACGATTGACCCCTTTGAAAATCTTTCTATACAGCTATAATTCTGTGTAATGCTCAAACCGCATTTAGGTATCTGATTCCCCCTTTGCACCTTTGAAATTACAGCTGTATAGTTTAACATACCAGTGATTAATATTCTCCACTAAATTTTGTAATTTTATTTGCAAATCTCACCTCGAGATGACAAAGGAACACCTCTCCTTTTACTTTAAGTGTAACATTTGACCTTTTGTCTTCACAGAATTCTCCCAAACTCTTTTGTCCAAAAGACAGAGTCTTGGATATTGAAGCTATCTACAATGTTATAGATGATGCCAAACAGTTTGTTTATATAGCTGTCATGGATTACCTCCCTATTGTCTTTGACACAAATGCTAAAAGGTTAGTGAGTGTCCACAATGTATTTAGCACATTGCTGCAATGAGAGAAAGCTCTTGCTGGTGAAAATAAATCAGCAGGCATTTAGTTACTCGTTATGGATCAATTTCTTAGGGCCCAATTCTGCTCTCACTGAAATCAATGAGAGTTCTACCATTGACTTAACTGGGAGCAGAATTGGGACCTAAGACGGAATTTCCAAGTTCTGGGTTCTAAGCTGTGGATCACCCTATTGAAGGAGATCAGAATGTGTCTAGTCTGACCATCTATGAGTGACGTGACAGATCCAGGAAAACAACAGTAGAACTCACTTTTGTTTCCTATGTTACTGTATTCAGCACCTAGATACAATGGCTATTGGCACTTTATGAATACCAGATAGTGTCTGTGTGTATGAAAGAGAGAGAACATATTGAAGGATCTAATACACAGTATGGAAACTGTCATAATTTTATTTTAAAAAACAGACCTTTTTAAACTCAGCACAGATTGCACTTCCACCAATATTACATTATAGCTAGCTCATAGCAAAAAAAGTCAAAAAAGTTTATGCACAATGTATTTATGGCCTAGATTTACAAAAGTGCTCAGGACCTACAACTGGAGCCAAATCTTAATAAAATTATTCAGCTTCCCCTCCCCTCAGTTGGAGCTGAATAAGTGGCTAAATTGAGAACTACCAAGTATCCAGTAGCTCCCATTGCACTCAGAGGAAGGTGCTGGGAGCTGAACCTTTTGGATATCTGGCCACTTAAATCAGGCGCCTTAATGATGGTTGCTGGCTCTTTTGAAAATCTGTATTTATGCCTTTTTCACCCTTGCATAATTGAAAAAAAAGGGGGGGTTATGTGTAACCCTTCCAAAACCTGAGACCGGATGTGAGACCTTTGAGACCCACAAGAACATTTTTGGAGAAAGTTACTGTCTAAAGCTATACTAGTGGTTTAAAATGGAATAGATCTTTTGTAACTTTAATTGTAGTGTTGCTCTGTTAGGGAGGAGGCAAGGATTTTCCCCACTCTATAGAGGAACCAGCTGATCTGTGCCCCTATCCTGATTAATTCAAAGATCCATGTGGCTTGAGGCATAGGACCACCTACACAGAGAGGTCCCTTGCAGTTTTATTGGCAGCATGGCTTTAAACTTAATGCACTGCCATAGCTTCCCCATTGGCATTATCCCCCCAGCCTCCCAATAAAGGAGTTTCTTCGGCAATCTCCCTAGATTGATGGTAGAAGGGAGCTGCACATCTCCCTTGGGTTTCTTGCCAGACTCTCTCACTTCTGGCCTGCTCCCTCTCCAGGAGTGGGATCTCTAGACCCATGTTGAGTGCTCTGGGCCAAGGACCATAGGAATAGTGCCACAGAGACAGCTGTCACATTGGGGTAAGAATTCACCAACTCCCCAGGAATTGGACAGTGACGGTGGGGGAGAGACCGAGTCCTCATGTGAGCAAACTCCCGTCCCACCCAAAGAATATAGGGACCCTGCTCTTGGGTATCTCTCTTCCTCTTTTTCCTCCCTTCCCCCCGGCAGGAACTTCTTGAGGTTATTATAATCCTAGGCCTGAGATCCCAGAATGGGAGAGAGGCTGACAATCAGGGCTTTAAAAAGTAAGGAGTTGGCAGCTCCTTCTGCTTAAAACTGAGAGGAGTTCTTGTTCTCTCCCTGGCTTGGGTAAGCAGTGCATTCTGATAGCTCACCCTCTTCTTTGGAATTGCACTTCCTATTCCAATCTACTTTAACACTGTTGATGACGTGCATCACTCCACTGGGTGTGGGGGGACTAGAAGTTCATTTTGAATGAGTCTTTGCCTCTACAGGGGCAGCTCTGCAACCACCCACCCAGGGAGAGATTGGGCATACTAACTCACACAGGCCAGTAGGGCCTCACTGCCCCCAGGATTGGTTGGTTTTGTGTGAAGCAGGGTGATAGAGTGGTAAGGGTCTAGCACAACTTCCTGCCACCTCAGTTTGATTCCTTAGACTGCAGACAAATGCTGTTCATGTTTTGTTTAGTTGTATTTAGTTTTCCCTAGTGGGGCTAGGTCTGCCAGGGTAAAAATCTAATTGATTGCTTTTTACCTGAATGTATTGTGTGCTTTCTCCACAGGTACTGGCCGTATTTGGATGGGAAGATAAGAGAAGCATTAGTATTACGAAGCATTAAAGTCCGGCTCCTCATAAGTTTCTCAAAAGACACAGATCCCCTTACATTTAACTTTGTTTCATCTCTTAAAGCTATTTGTATTGAGGTTCCCAGCTGTAGTTTAAAAGTTGTAAGTATACACCATATTGGTTCAGAATGAGTCTAAGATGTTTTCAGTGCACAAAAATAAATACTAACAATAAGTATATTAAGATTATCTGGGTTGCTGTGGAAACCTTAACATTTCATTGAAAACCACAAGAAATGCATAATTTTGGGCCAAATTTAGCCCTGGTGTACACACAACTCTTGACTTACTGCAATAGACTTTAGTGAACTAGTAGCAAGGGTAAATGCATCATTAACCCCAATTCAGTCCCCTTTTGCAAGTAAAATATTTTGTAGTATCCTGCACACTGTTCACTGTAATTTATGATCAATGTGGCCAAGTTACTAGATAGATTTCAGTGATGTGTTACACACCCTTACAAGTTTGAATTTGGTCCGCTTTTGTAACAATTCCTTTCATTTTACTGTATTGACTCCTGAATGCTCTTCAGTTTTGGTAACAATTGTGCAGAATTTGGATCTCACATGGCAGTGGTAACAACATACATGCTATAATCATATAATGCACGTTCTTGGGGACAGGGACTCTCTCTGTTATTTGTTTGTACAGTGGCACTGTTCTGCTAAGCCAAACTGAGGAAGATAGTAATATTTATCACTTACATAGTGTGGTGTTTTTAATCTTCCGGAACTTTACAAACACTAACTAGTCCTAACACTCCCCCCTGTGAGGTAGATCAGTATTATCCCCATTTTATACATATCAAAACCGAGGAAGAAAAGTTAAATGACTGTCCCATGACTCGGTGTGTCACAGCCAGGGTTAGGATTCAGGAGATCCGGGCTCCCAGTCCTGTGTTCAGAACACTAAATCTGGTCTCTCCTGGAGAAACGGAACCAAGTGAGTCACAGTTTTACGTCTTGTTTAAATTGAAGAGAATGTGCCATCACTGGACTGCTTATATGATTGTGGAATAAAGTGATCTGACTGTCAAATACACTAGCACCTTCTTCCTCTTTATCACAGTAAATAAAATAAATGCAGATTTTACATGGACATTATGCAGTTCATTCAAAGTTCTGAACGCAGAACTATTACTTGGCCACATTGCACATGCAGTGTATAAAGAAGTATTTAACACCACATGTGCTGCACTTCACAGTAGTGGGTAGAGTTATGATTGTTGTTGCATTAAATTTGACATAATTATTAATGAATTAAGATATTTATGAAATTCAGTGAACGATACTGGAAGTAAAAGAACAGTCCTCTCTGAGGCACCCATCCCATTTGAGAAAAATTGTCTGCTGAAGTTCTGATTTTTTTTTTCAGTAATTCACATAAGATGGTTATTGTTAATTAGACTAATAGCTGATATGGAAGCTGGTTACGTACATCACTGAATGTATGTACTTTTGCACTCAGTAAATAAAGCCAACCAATACTAGATCCATTTTCCCTGTGAGGTCTGAATATACCAGTGTCAGACTTGATACGTTTTGGGCACAGTTAGCACAGCTCCCATTATTTTGAATTCCCCTTAAACCATAGGGACAAGTTACCCCTGAGTTTTAAACATGCAGAAGGAAGTTGGAGCAAATGAGAGCGTTGGCAGTTTGGCACAAGGACAGTATTCAGTTCCATGACAGCTTTGGTATGGTGTTCATATGGCTCCCATGTGAATTACATACACCCAACTCACCTGTCTGAGGCAGAGCCTTCCGGCCTTTATGGATCAATCTTCCTCCATTCTCTTTTTTTATGTCCATTCTTAACTTTCCACAACTTAAGTTTTCTCCACTCCTTGCTCTAGTTCCATCCTCTCCTTCCACTCCTCAGGTAAAGCTCTCAAATAATGTAAATACAATAAAAACTAAAGAGAAAAGTAAAATAAAGTTCTCCAAGATAGGTTCAGGCATTAGTCATCAATGGCTGCAATTCCCATCCCAATCTGCATTGCCTCCATCCTCTTCTTTCAGGTTTCACCTGAAATACATTTCTTCCCCGGGACATACAATTGCTACTCCTCTCCTCCAAAAGTCTTTTAAAATGAAATAACATAACAATTCCATTATTGAGCCACACTCTGCTGTCACAGCAACACTCTTGACTATAGTAGCAAAGTTAAGAAAAAGGCTGAACCATTCGGAGAGTAGAAGTTTCTAGGAGCTAATGTTAGTTAACAGCCTACAGGTCTGTGAGACTGTTACACATGCAATTAGTATCAGTAATGTTGTGGAACCTTATTAGTACAGTTCTTTTAAATGTTATCTTTTCCAGTGCTCAGCCACTAAGTACTTAAGGGAAAATGTAGGTAATTTCTTTTTTTCGGAACAATTAGAGCACCGAATAATGTACAGTGTTTGTTAATTAGTATAGTTCCTGGGCTGGTATATTTCCTCTCATTCTTAGAAAGGCTAATATAGCCTTAGACTCTTTGCCTGAGCAGGACTCGCAGTAACAACCAAAGGAAAACTAAGTGCTGACTGCAGAACACCAGTATTAACATTGCACATCTTTTGTTTCATACATTGAATGATACTTGTACAGTAAGATATAAAATTATGAACACAACAAGCAGGGATGGTTTTCTGTGATACGCTCCTTGTATATTATTGGTTTCTTATTCCTGGTGATAATACTATCTGAAACATATTGCATACAGACGATTTTCAGTCTGAAACACATATGGTAAGGTAACTTTCAACACACTAATTACAACCTTCAGATTTAAACCCAGGTACAGAGATGGGATAAGAACTTCCAATTAGCTTTATGCTGTCCATCAAAAAGATTTTTGCATAGTGGGCTGTGTTACTGAATTTTAACTAATGACAGACTAACCTACAGAGGTTGTTTTGTTGTGATTGACATCCTAAAGCTCAGCCAAAGCTATCTGAGCTTATACTTCCTTAAATTATGCTTGCTTGCTTATTTCCTTTGTACATTTTTGTTTCTAGCCAGAATCAGAAAGGGTAACATTATAGAAAAACGTTAAATAAAAAAAGATGGGGAAGAACAGTTAAACTTGAACTCTGGAAAAAATTGGTTTCCACTCAGTGTTCGTTTTGGGTAAAGGTTCAGTTTGGTGGTTGTTTTATTTTGACTGGTTTTCCTGTCTGTCAGTCTGATATGACACTCTCATGCCCTGGGGTACATATTCTATTCACAAGAATGAAGGAATTTAAACCCAAACTAAATCCCATGTAAAAAACTTACTGGGTGAGCCTACACCCTAAATTCTCAGTGTTGTGATGTGTATGTTACGTTTCAAGAATATTAGAGTTTAACCGTGAACTGAAGTTAGAAACCCAGAAAATTCAGAGTGAAGTTGCATCTACAAGAAAACCAAGCAGACTAGATGATCATAGTGATCCCTTCTGGCCTTATAATCTATGCAAATATGGAAATTTATAGTTAAGGTAACCATACTGCCTTAACTCTGCCCCCCATAGAAATGCCAGCTTTCCATGCTATCCTCCATACTGTTTGGGTTGAGCCTCTTCTGCCAACATAGCTCTGTCCACACCAGCGATTTTGCCGGTATAACTTATGTTGGTCAAGTGTTTCCCCACTGCTGACTGACAAAAGTTTTACTGATAAAAGCGGTAGTGTAGACAAAGCCTAAGTCTCCATGAGGGGTACGGATTTAGGCCACACCCCTCTCCTCAATATTTCCTGCTGGCTAGTTTGAACAGCTCCCTGCTCAGCATGTTGGATTTTGTGGATCCAATTCTTAGACACTTTGCATTCCACATGCATCGCAGAGGGAGCCTAGGCACCTAACTTGGGCTGTAGATTCCACTGTGTGGAAAGGTGCCCAGAAAAATGTATTGTCACATCCAAGTTCCTTCATGGATCTAGCCCATGGTAATTGTCTGACAGAGTGAAGCATAATAAAACCTTTTCCTAATCCCCAAATAACCCAAAAATGTCTAAATATAATTTTCTCACATGTAGACAAAAATTCACCTTTTGGATGAGCAAAGAGGAGATTTAATCTCAGGTGGCAACATTTTTATTTTTACAGCTATAAACTCTTGCAATCGGCCTTTAAAGGAGAAATGCCTCCTCAGCCCAAAATAGATCATTGCTAATGCAGTGCTTTAACTGATGGTGTGCACTGGAGGATTTAGTGTGTGGTACTGAATGCCTTTGAACAACTGACTTGTTTCAGTAACAAAGTTCCAGTTGCATTATTGCTTTTGTGAGAGGAGAGAGCTTCTGCGAGAGGAGAGAGCTTCTGCGAACAATAGCCAGGATGTCAAAGAGTTAATGAGTTATCTGCTTTGCTTGAAGTATGCATTACATTTTCAAGCCATCTATGTTTGTCCTGCTGGGTTCACACTTTCCAGCCCTGCCTGTGATGCTACACACAGTAACCTAATACAAGTTTTGTCCAATTCAGCCAGACTGGCTGAAAATATTTTAGTAATTTGGCATTAAGATACTACCTTGATGGCTGATCTCAGGAAGAGCCCACAATTTGCATGTGATAAGAGGCCAGGTTATTTTACCTTAAGTAACATAACTATGCAAGGAAACAAAAAGCAAAACAAAATTACCTGGCATTCAGACCTTGTCATTTGGAAAGATAAAATATCCATTTGCTTTTCTTCATGAAATCATCTTTATGATAGCACTTGTGTTCACATAATGGGATGTGCAGACCTTAGAAGCATTAAAAGGAGTTAACACCATATATCGCTATGTACCTTGATAAATGCACTGTCTCGGGCCAAGGTTGTATCAGTTAAAGGGTCATTGTGGCTGCTCTCCCATTCAGCTCCTCCTTTGTTTGCAAAGTAAAACCCAAGCCTGGTTTTTGGGTTTTTTTGTTTGTTTTTTTGGGTGGGACTGGGGGGAGGGTGTTTTGTTTTTTAACCCAAAAGCTCAAAGCAGTTCCATCAGCCTATGGACTTCAAGAATGCAGCTTCCCCTCCCTTGTCGGTGGTAAAGTAGAGACAGTATGGTACAGACACAGGTTGCTCAGTATCAACTCTGTTTCCAACAGGATAGACTGTCTCTGGATCAAACCCTCCTTTATTCTCTTGGCCTGGGAGTACCCCCATCCCAATGATCTCATCGCAAAATGACCTTGCCTGCCCCTCAAAGATTGCTGAAACTTTGCTGAAACCATCATCTCTGCTTCCTTTCCATTTGAGGTTGAGAAGGAATTCTCTAGTGGATTCAGTTTCCCCCCCCCCCATAAGATGTATCACTCGAACCCTGCCTCTCAATCCTTTTACTACATGTGTACCTCCCCAGTTAATGTTACTTGACCATTTTCTTGGTCTGAAGAAATTAAGGTTTGATTTGATCTGTATCAGGCCTGGCCATAGCTAGTATAACCTCTTGTGTCCTGTATTTGTCCCCAAAGCTATCTACCTAAAGGACTCCTTGACAGAACCAAAGATATTGGATACTGCTTTATCATCTTTTATTATTGTCATATTGAAGTATTAGAGAGACATGGTGGGTGAGGTAATATCTTTTATTTGACCAACTTCTTCCTCCGACATGTGTGGCTCAAAAGCTTGTCTCTCATCGCTCTTTGATCCAATGAAAGATATTACTTCACCCACCCTGTGTCTCTAATATCCTGGGACCGACACGGCTACAACAACAGTTCACACTATAGTGAAGTACGGCAGATCATTTCTAGAACCTTGCTCGGTACAAATATTGCTGAAGTATCTGCTATCGCTGGTCAGGCTTCAGGTATCATCTTTAAAGGTTCATCTGGCAGCTAATTGCAAGCTCCTTCACAGTGCAGAGGACTTTATGATCATTGTTTGAATCATTTAAATATTTTCTTCATCTGTATGTTCTGGTGAAATCTATTGTGACTTCTAGGGATCTTAATCTGGCCGTTAGCTCTGAGGTGGCACCAAGCATTCTCTCTACCAGGTGCTTGGCTGACTGATGCTTGCCCACATGCTCAGGGTCTAATTCAGGGATCTCAAACTGAAATCACCATGAGGGTCACATGAGGACTAGTACATTGGCCCGAGGGCTGCATCACTGACACCTTTTCATATAAAGGTACAAAAGGCCCCCGCCTGGTGCCCCCGGCCCCCCCACTCCACCCCTTCTATGAGGCTCCGCCTCTTCCCACTCCTTCCCCGCCCCCATTCCAACCCCTTCCCCAAAGTCCCCACCCTAATTCCACCCCCTCCCTGCGCCTACTCCAACTCCTTCCCCAAATCCCTGCCCCTGCGCTGCCTCTTCTCTGCCTCCTCCCCTGAGTGCGTGGCTCCCCGCTCCTTCCCCCTCCCCACCGGAAAGCGCTAAGTGCTGCCAAACAGCTGTTTGCCGGTGGGAAGCGCCTGGAGGTAGGCAGAGGAGTGGGGACACTGCGTGCTGGGGGGGGCGGCAGGTGAGGGGAGCTTAGCGGCCACAGGAAATAACACCGGGAGGGATGCGGGGGTGCGCAGGGATCTTGGCGGGCCACGGCAAAGAACTCCGTGGGCCGTGTGTTTGAGACCCCTGGTCTAACTGATTGCCATATGTGGGGTTGGGAAGGAATTTCCCCCTGGAACAGATTGGCAGTGAACTTGGAGTGGGGGGAGGGGTTGCCTTCTTCTGCAGTGTGTGGGTGAGGGTCACTTGTCATGATTATCTGACTGTATCTCAGTTATTTCCTTGTCATTGTGGGAGCCTCGAGCACTGTGCACCTCTGTCCCTCCTATTTTCTCCCTGTGGCAAGTAATAGTCTCCTGAGGGTTGCACTACCTTGGTCTAATTTCGGTTGTTGGGGTTTAGTGTGTGGGTGTCTGGTGGTGCTGGTGACCCATTCTGTCCTTAAACTCTGACTTGATAACTCTACAGAGACTGATTCCATTTGTAACCCCATGGAGGGATGGTTCTTTGTATGAATGCAGCACACATATAAACACTACAGAGCAGTAACCTTAGTTCAAATGAACTGTTTTGCTCCCTGATTTGCTTTTCTTCTTTCCATGAAAGTATTCATGGCCATCCGCTTATCACTGGGGGTACATCCAAGTGTACCTGATACTGTATATTCAGAATTGAGTGCACATTTTTGGCATGATGTACCATGTTGAGTAGTAGCTACATGGGTAATTTTGGCTCAAGTCACGCAGTATTTACAGTAAACAAATTCAGTATAAAAAACCTTTCTTTTTTTTTATGAAACACAAAGAGAGACACACATCTGTAACCAAAAACATTTTGCAGCTTTGAGGGGGAAAAAAATAGAAAAATTCTCGGCAGTGTGCTAAAAATAGCTATTTGCCTCTCATCCAAAGCTGCATATTTATTGAAGCCAAGTCTATCTATTTGAGCATGTGTTTTTGCAGTTTTAATGTACTAGAGATATTTACATTACAGTTTGCATAATAAATTTTGCAGTATTTGTTACCTTAACAAAAAGATTTCCATGAAAGTGGTTTTAACTGTTCTAGATACAATATTTTACATCCAGACTAATGTAAAATGAGCTCCCCTCTCTATGGGCCTGATCCAAAACTAATTAATGTCCGTAGAAAGACGCTCATTGGTATCGGTGGGCTTTGGATCATGTTCTATAAACTCTTCATGGGAGCCATATATTTTGCTAGTTTACAAGTAAAAAGGGTTCTTTTTCTAGATTCTAGATCTGAATTTCGAGAGTCAAACTGGCTTCTGCCCTTCTCAGGGTCATCACAAGGAATAAAGATTCTGCAGGCTAACTTCTGTCCTCTGTTATATGTACCTCTGCAAGGTCATTGACAATAGTATTAATGAGTAACTGTAAATGAGAGCTGTAAATAGAATGCACTTGTGGTACTTCCATAAAACTCACCCTTTCAGACATTTTCCCTTATTGTAAAATTAATGTATTTTTTTCTTGTTGTATGGAAAGTCTGACCTCTGCAAATTGCAGACTCACTCTTAAGAAGTTACTGAGGTGGGCACATCGCCTGTTATAAACTATGACATATATAAGATAAAAATATTAATTCAGTTTATTGGCATGCCTGACAAACTGTATCCTGAGGCTGACTTCAAATTCTATAGCCCCTTGATGAATGAGGAAATGAGAGTTGAACAAATTTCTGGCTCTCATCTTGTAGAAAAGTATGGATTTTGTGTTCACTCTTTTACATGCCATTGCACTGCTGCTATTATACCATAGCCACACATTTTGTATATGTTAATTTTTCTACTGGCTACCAAGGCATATGTGATATCGAGAACAACAGTTTGGGTATAAAATAAAGTGTAGAGTTTTACAAGAATTAAACAATCTCCTATAAACCGAAGTTAGTTGTTGTATAAGACTAGCTCATTCTCAGTTTAAAATAGGGGGTGGGTTGTAATTTTTCTGTTTTTTCTTCTGCAAAGTTGTGGAGAGGAACTTTCATTAACCTGATTGTCTTTTTTCTTGACTGCAGAAATTTTTTGATCTTGAAGAGGAGAATGCTTGCTTTCTCAAAGAACAGAAGAATACGTCCCTTCCCAAATTAAATCGGAATAAATATATGGTGACTGATGGAGCTGCTTATATTGGTAAGTAATCCCACATCCCAGTCAGTTCTGATTAGTACATTATAGCTTTGGAGCCCAAAGTCTGAAATAACAATTGATTGTAAGCAGGGTATTAAGTAGCTAAAAACCCCATTCAGTGTCTTTGAAGATTGGACATTAAGTGGAAAATTCCTATTTTCAATACAAAGCTGTTTGTCAATGCTGGGGTAGAAGAGTTGAATTCCTTCCTTCCAATGGATTGTTTCCCAAGGGAAGTGGTTGTTTTTTGAATTAATAAGAGTAGCCTGAAAAAGCAACTATAGAATGTACTTCATGGAACAGTCCTGCATTGGTTTAGGAATAGATTGGATGATCTAATGGATCGTGTCAATCTCTAATTTCTGTGAAGACTGACAAGCCTTACAATTTGCCATGTCATCACTATGTTTGGGGTATCTTCATAAAGACAAGTTGCCACTCTACTCATCCTTTGCAATTTACCCCAGGGACACAGCCTGCGTACTGTAATGCTTGATTTCAGAATACCTGCATTGTACTGTGCATGTTTTGGTTCATAATCTGAAGGCATTGTCCAGAGGGTAAGTGTATATTTAAACAATGTCTGTATGCAGCTAAGTGTAAACGTTCATTTTGATTAAAATATTTATTAAATGGAGTAGTAAAATTACCCTTTGGAAACTTGAAGCAAAAGCAAGCACTATAATCTATTTAGAATGGAAATTTTCATTCTTGGATTTATTAACTCTCCTGAGTAAAAATCTATTACTTTTTAATTCATAGGGAGTTTCCTCACTGCCTAAAAAATGCAGAGCACAGCTCAAGTAGCTGAGCTAAGAAAGGGGTAGATCGGTGAAATATCTTTCTCATTCAGGCACTTAGTAGTTGACTTATCTCCTGAAACTCAACATCAACTGATTTGGCCTAGCTTAACATCCAAAATCCTGCCTGGGCCAGACTTGATGCAGGGCCTTGCCTGTTAAGTCCCGTCTTAAGGATACACATCTCTCAGTCATAAATACATACAAATTGCCATACCCAAACCAAGCAGTGGTCCATCTAGTCTAGTATCCTATGGACTCTAACAGTGGCCAATACCAGATGCTCATACTTCAGAGGAAGGATCGGAAAACCCCACAATAGACATTCATGGAATAATATGCTCCTTAGGGCAAGTTTCTTCCTAATACCCATTCAATCATGAAGGTTTATATCTTTTATAAAACACTTCAGTTATTTCCTTTCATTTTTAAAATCTTTACTCTTATAATTCCAGCTATTCTCATTATCATATAAGCATCCACTCTTTTTTGAATCCTGCTAAGCTTTTGGCCTCAGTAACATCTTGTGATAATGATTTCCACAGACTACTTCTGTGTTTTGTGAAAAAAGTGTATCCTTTTAGTAGTTTTAAGTTGTCTGACTTTCAGTTTAATTGACTGTCCCCTTGTTCTTGTATTTTAAGTAAGGGTGAATAGAAGGGCCTGATCTCCCATCCTTTACCTCTTTCCAGAGCTCATTCCCTTCTGTTTGGGTGAGTGTAAACATTACCATTTTCCCTATTTCCATTTACCTTTTTTGTACAAAAGGCATCGGGTTAGGCATAGCTGCTGTGGACTTGTCGATGTGCCAAGGATGATTAAACTAAATTAAATGATTACATTTTTTCAATTCAAGGATTTATGTCTATATACAGCACTCAGGGTCCTTTTGGCGACGGGTTCTCAACTTACGTTATTTAAAATTAAATGAATACGCAAAGATGCAGTGTCCCCTGTCTGGAGCTGGAATAAATTATTTTGACTTTTTCATAAAGGTCATTTGGTTTTTCTCCATGTGTTGGCATTATCAGAGATATGTGGACAGCAAGATGAGGTTATTTCTACATATAGTTGTTTCCAAAAGTGTGTTCTGTACTGCTAGTCAGGTATAGTCCCTTCAAAGGCAAAATGTACAATATCCATCCTCTTTTCCTCTCACATGGAGGACCCTACTTGTAGCAGAACTGGTTCAATTCCACTGGGCAGGGTAAGGCAGGAATTGGGGTGTCCAGCCCCCGTGTGCAGCAGAGATCCTATCACTGTGGGCACTCTCTGTGTGAAGCCACCGCACCAGGGATTTGGGGTTGTAATGAGACATCCAGCAACCATTCCCCTCACACAGGTGAGGAGTACAGACATTGTGATGGCTCCTCCGCTCCACCTCTTCGATGAAGCTGTAGCCCCTGAAGAACTCCTGAGCATAAACCCATTTTCTTGGACTGTACACTGAATTGAGATTAGGGCCAGTGTGTAGCGTGCCTTCTTTAAAATTGTCACGGTTACAAGACCATAGCTGAGGGTCAAAAGAACTAATGCTTTGTTATAAACATTTCATCATAAATTCTTCGTCATGTGAAATGTCCTGTGTTCTGTCACTGTACCTTCACCCTCTCTCCTCACATTTGTAATGTCACTAAATCATGCTGCTTTCTGTATAGGGTCAGCAAAATATACCCATTGCTCTCATTACCAAAGCCCTCTCTAGATCCTTATTATGTCTCACCTCGAGTACTGCAGCCGCTTCCTCTCTGGCCTCTTGCACGCCTTTCTTACCCTCTTCAAACTATCCAAAATGATGTCCCCTAAATCATCACTCTTTTCTGCATCTCTGACCATGTCCAATTGCTCTTCAGATCCCTAGATCAAATTTCAGCTCCATGCACTGAAGGTCCTACACAACATGGCTCCGTCTTCTACCACTCTGGTGTTTCTTTCCACGGTCTTCACCCACTCCACCCTTCTAAAGCCACCCAACTAAGTACAGCATTGCGTCCATTTGCAGTTACAACTGATAGGATTTAGAAAAAAACAAGAATCAAAAGTGTGTAAGGGATATAAACCTTCATGCTTCAGGGCATGAGCCATCCTCTAACTGAAGGATAAGGAAGAAACTTCCTTTATGGGCAAGTTATTCCATAATTGCTCACTTCAAAATTCTTGCATCTTTCTTTGACGTATCTCGTACTGGCCATTATCAGAGAAAGGATACTTGTCTGGATTCTAGCTAGATCACTGATGTAATCCAGTACAGCAACTCCTAAATTCCTATATCCTTCTCTGCACCTCCTCCTCTGCTGCTCCACACACCTGGAACTTCCTCCCCGACCCAATCCAAAATTCTTCCATCCTTCCTGAAAACACACTTCTTCACTCCATCCATCCCCACTCCCTTAACATGTAGAAAATGATAAACAAAACAAAATATACAGAAATAATGAACCAAGATGCATGTTTAACATCCTTCAGCTACATTGCTTTTCAAGAGTTCACCTTCCCCTCATCCTTCTCTTCTGTCTGTTGTCTCCTTAGATTTTAAGCTATTCTGATATGGACACTCTCTTGCTACCTGTCAGTAAAGAACCTAGCCCATACTTGGTTCTACACTGAGAATGAATAATAATATAATGGTTTTCAAACAATATAGATAGTAAACCATGGTGATAAAAATCAAGTCTTACTTGAACCAATTAACAGCACATAATCACAGAGATGATCATGCTGCTTTCGTTGTTACATTGACTATAAACAAATGAAGGTTGATTGTGCAGTTAAGGATTAGATGTACTGGCATAGTTTGACATTAATTTACCCCGAATTCAGACATAGAATATGTGCAGTCGCACACAGTAAAGATAAATACTAATCACTGACTTTTCTATGCAATGAAAGGATTTTTAAGCACAACAGTAGCAGAAAGCCTGCCAAATAATCAGTGGGGCCACTGTATGATCGAATTGCTGAAGGAGCACTCAAGGAACACAAGGCCATTGCAGAGAAGCTAAATTAATTCTTTGCATTGGTCTTCACTTCAGAGGATGTGAGGGAGATTCCCACACCTGAGACATTCTTTTCAGGTGACAAATCTGAGGAACTGTCCCAGATTGAAGTGTCAGTAGAGGAGGTTTTGGAACAAATTGATAAATTAAACAGAAATAAGTCACCAGGACTAGGTGGTATTCACCCAAGTGTTCTGAAGGAACTCAAATATGAAATCACAGAACTACTAACTGTGGTATGTAACCTATCACTTAAATCAGCTTCTATACCAGATGACTGGGGGATAGCTAATGTAAGGTGAATTTATTAAAAAGACTCCATGTGCAATCCTGGCAATTCCAGGCCGATAAGCCTAACTTCAGTACCAGGCAAATCGGTTGACACTATTGTAAAGAACATAATTATCAGACACATAGATGAACATGATGTCTTGGAGAAGAATCAACATAGCTTTTGTAAAGAGAAATCATGCCTCACAAATTCATCAGAATTCTTTGAGGGGATCAACAAACATGTGGACAAGGGTGCTCCAGTGAATATAGTGTACTTGGACTTTCAGGAAGCCTTTGCAAGATTCCTCACAAAAGGCTCTTAACAAAGTAAGCTGTTATGGGATAAAAGGATCATGGATCAGTAACTGGTTAAAAGACAAGAAACAAAGGATAGGAATAAATGGTCAGTTGTCAGAATGGAGAGAGATAAATAGTGGTGTCCCTCCAGCGATCTGTTTTGGGACCAGTGCTGTTCAGCATATTCATAAATGATCTGGAAAAAAGGGGTAAACAGTGATGCGGCAAAGTTTGCAGCAGATACAAAATAATTCAAGATAATTAAATCCAAAGCAGTTAAGTAATTCTTAACTGGAAAACAGACGACTAAGGGGGGATATGATAAAGGTCCATAAAATCATGAGTGGTGTTGAGAAAGTGAATAAAGAAGTGTTGGTTTTGTGAGATCGCATTGTAACTCTTGGCAGTCTGCTTTGGAATTCCTAACTATCAGGGTAGTTAAACACTGGAACAAATTGCCTAGATTGTGGAATCTCTGTCAGAGGAGAGGGACTTCAGTCCTGAGAACAGTGAAATACCTGTTTTGGCTTTCAGACTGAGCAAAGGTAACAAAAATGCAGAAATGAATTGCAGTATACTTTAGATAAGTAATTTTTTCCTGAGCTGTCATAGAAAATACAGGTTTCAGAGGAACAGCCGTGTTAGTCTGTATTCGCAAAAAGAAAAGGAGTACTTGTGGCACTTTAGAGACTAACCAATTTATTTGAGCATGAGCTTTCGTGAGCTACAGCTTTTTTTACATCAGATGCATCTGATGAAGTGAGCTGTAGCTCACGAAAGCTCATGCTCAAATAAATTGGTTAGTCTCTAAAGTGCCACAAGTACTCCTTTTCTTTTTATAGAAAATACATATATTCCTGTAATTGTTCTAGAGGGTGAGGGTGGGAAGAAATACTGCATTCTGTTGGATTGGCTTTTTTTATGTTGTAGTCTCACTACATATTCTTTTCATTTATTTATAGGTAATTTTGACTGGGTAGGAAATGATTTTACTCAAAATGCTGGAGCTGGCCTCGTTATCAACCAAGCAGACGTGGGAAACAACACAAGCATCATTAAGCAACTTAAAGCTGTGTTTGAAAGGGACTGGTATTCACACTATGCCAAAAGTTTGCAACCAACAAAAATCCCAAACTGCTTAAACCACAAACTTAACAAAGCAGTGGCAAATAAGACTGCCATGAATTAAAAAGACTATTTTACTGTATGATGAATGAAGAAATACATCGGGGCTGCTGTAACCCTATTTCATATTTACAGATAAGAGACTACAAAAAGGCAAAAAAATGTTTTTGTTTGGGTTTTTTTTGTTTTTTTTTTGTTTTTTTTTAGGAAAAAAGCACACTTGTATAAAATGTTCTCTAAACTATATTCTCTATATTGAATTATTTATGACTTTTAAATTTGTTACTTCTTACATTGAATGTCATTTATGCTTCGACATTGATTTTTCACATTTGAATTTAAGCGTACTTTGATTCCTCTCCTTCAGTTTTCATACCTCCCATCCTGGTTAGGCAGAACCTTGAGGCAGAACTGAAAGCTGAGCTATGAAATGTCATTCTAAGATCAGCTGCTATTGATATATAATGGAGGACAGACTTCCCCCCATAGCAAAAGATACTAGTTTGAGCAAGTATTCTCCCATGTAAATCGTTCCGTCCAAGTATATGGCCATCCAAGGAGATTTTGATAGTTTTGAACAGATAGTTTGATATCAGTATCGAATTACATTTTCACACTATCCTCAAAATGTATTAAAGCTAGCTGTCAACTTCCTTGTCGTCTCCTAATAAAACCATACGTTTTCTTTTGTCCAGACAACTTTCACGATAACCTCTTCCCCCAAACCTCTTACCTAACACATTTCAAAATTTTTTATTAATTTTAATTCCCTCTACCTTCAATGGTTATTTCTTGTTATACCAATGTCTCTTTAATTTTGAAATTCCTGGATTCTGAGGATGTTTTATTCTAAAAATCTATTATAAAGATGAAGGGCTGTCTTTTCTTGTTAGCTGTACAATGTGATCTTCCCAATTTGAAGTATTTCTCAAGAGTGAGGCAGCAATTTTGTGTAGCATCGTTGTTTGAAAAAAAACCTAAACCCTTAAATGCTCCTTTTTGAAAATGATGAAGGGCTGTGCAAAGCTGTACAATAATTTTATTGAACATTTTCACAGTTTTGTTCTAGTTGATTTCATACCTGGCAAACTTTGTTTTGTTAATTTAAAAACAAAACGAACAAACAAACAAAAAAGTATCCTTTTGTGAAATGGTGTTTTTGTGTCAAAATAGGTCATTCAATTTCTTGCATGTTTTTTATAATTATAAAAGAAATTGGGACAGATTCATCTCTGGTGTAACTCCATGACTCACTGACTTCAGCAATTACACCAGCAATGAGTTTCATCCAGTATATTCAAAGTTGAAGATCATTTTTTAAATCAGATCTGTTTATTTGCAAAATTTCACTGAAGGACCAAGAGAAGCTCTAGAGGTGAATATCTTTCAATCATGTGTCTTGGGATAAACTTAATATTAAGTGCTTGCACAAAGGCAGAAGAGCCAAAAATTCCAGAGTTTGCAGTTATAGCTTCTGCTAGCAATAGCACATAAAAAGATAAAAATTATTAACCACTGATATATTTCCCTTCCTTGCATTGTTGATCTTAGGAATGCATTGAATTTTTAGTACATTTTATACAGATAATGGAAAATGTCAATGGAGCAAAACTTTGTCAAACAAGAAAGCAAAGGCATTTGTTTTCAAGGCAGGAGAAAGTGATTTCATGACATTGTTGGGTTGCCACTGACCTTATAATTCTGATACCAAATGAATGACACACATGCAGTCATTTCATCTGATAGATTTTTGGAGCAGTAGAGTCACAATTGCGTACTGGTCCATTATGGTATAATGGATTCCCATGTGCTAGAAGAACAAATTTGTGAACTTCAGTCATCCAAAAAAGTACAGGTTTTTTTTTTTTTTTTTAAAGTATACTGTGTTTTTATGAACCATCTGATTTATGAACAGAAGGGTTTATTTTTAAATAACTTTAATCAGTAAATAGTGGTCAGCCATTCTACAATGGGACTGGCAGGCACAAATTTCGTTTGGTATAAAATATGTACTAATGATTTTAATATAGTTGTTTCAAATGACAGCAGCTCCAAAGAAGTGCAGAAGGCTTTGGTATGGTATGTTAGACAAAAGATAAAGTGCATCCTTGGATTTAAAAAAGAGGAAACGGAGTTTAAAAGAAATCTTATTAGTTTTTAGAACACATCAAAGGGGATAATAACCAATCATTCTTTCTGGGTTAGTACTATTGTAGTTCAAATAGATCAAATGCAGTGGACCAGGTTCTGATCGCAATTACACCAAAGTAAATATGAAGTAACTCCATTTAAGTTAATTTGCACTGGTTCATTTGAGATCAGAACCACTGTTTCCTTTGGCTTTAGCTCTGTAGAGCACCACCACTGCATGGCATGTTTTCAAATGCCTATAGGAATTTGCCTGTAGTAGTTTCTCACAGATCTCACAAACAGGATCCAGAAGATGCACTTTCTCTAACTCCCTTCTAACTGGCATTGGTAACTCTGTCGTATTACAAAGGCTTTTCTAAAGAGATCAGCTTTATTCTTAAAGAATATACACTGTAATTGTTGTTTGCTGCAAACATTTACTAGTGCCTTATTCATGCACAAGGTTTTATTTAACTATTTCTCTTGTGAAACCATGCTAAGATCTTGTGTTTAATACTGAAGCATAAAAACAGCTTGCTAAAAAAGACAAAAGACCTACATATTGTGAATGTTTAGAAGTCAGTACCTAGTGGTAGAGTCACAAAAAGACAAAACTGTTGCCAAGAGCTGGGCCCAAATCAAAACCTTGTATATGAACACACCTGAACTTCGGGGTGTTTTAAATGCCACCCCAGCTTGGGATCCAAATTTCATAAATTGACCCATCTTTATTATGAGATGATGCAAATCCCAAATCAAAATATACCTGATTTTGGGGATATTCAAAATCTGCATTCCCCAATATCAGACTCCAATCAGAAGCAACAATACTGTGGCAGTTCTTTCAAGCTTGAGGGTGGGGTAAATCCAGACACATACAAAGGCTGATACACAGCTACTTGCGTATTTCTTTGCAGTCTTGTTGTAGCTCTGCTGGTCCCAGGATATTAGAGAAACAAAGGTGGATGAAGACCAACTTCTGTTGGTGAAAGAGATCATTCAAGGTGAAGTGCGCAGTTAACACCTCTGCAATCATAGGACAAAGGAGGGGTAATGGATTGCAGATTGTTTTAATGAGCCATAAATCCAATGTCTTTATTGAGGGCATGGCTACACTTGCAGATGTAGAGCGCTTTAAGTTAAACCAGCCTTCGGAGTGCTCAGTAGGGAAAGCGCTGCAGTCTGTCCACACGGACAGCTACAAGCACACTGGTGTGGCCACATTAGCAGCTCTTGCAACGGCCACAGAGAGCAGTGCATTGTGGTACCTATTCCAGCATGCAAGTGACTGCAACGTGCTTTTCAAATGGGGGTGCGGTGGGGTGGGGTGGGGTAAGACAGGGAGTGTGTTGTGTGTATGTTGGGGGAGAGAGAGTGGCTTTTTGGGGGGCTGAGAGCATGTCAGCTTGCTGTCTTCTAAGTTCAGACAGCAGCAGCAGACCCCCCTGCTCCCTCCCGCCTCTCTCTCTCACACACAGCGTTCCACACCAATGGTTGCTTTGTCTCGGAGCAGATAAGCAGCTGGCTGTCATTCAAAAACAATGAGAAGAGTGGCCACTTGATTTAAGGGCATTATGGGACATTTCTGGAGGCTGATCAGAGCACAGTGATGCAACATCTCGTTCACACTGACACCCGGGCGTTTCAGCCAAGGCACAACAAGCGTTAATCTTCTCACCGAGGTGGAGTAACGCTCTAGCCGTGGAGCCAGAGCGCTCTACGTGCCTTGCCAGTGTGGACAGGTAGTTAGCTAGGGTGCCCGGGGCTGCTTTAATGCACTGTAACTCACAAGTGTAGCCAAGCCGTGAGACTCTCCTTGAATGTGTTAACTCCAAAACAATCTGTTCCACCTGGCATTTAGATGTGATACTCTGAGTGCCTTTCCCAGACCTGTGGAAGAGCTCTGTGACACTCGGAAGCTTGTCTCTTCCTCCAACAGAAATTGGTTCAGTAAAAGATATTACTTCAGCCACTTTGTCTCTCTAACATCCTGCATAGGAACTAAGTGATCTGGCCTGTCACAGCCCTTTTCTGCCTCCACTACACACTTCTTTCCTACTCAGACTAAATAGCAAATGGGATTATATGGGAGGTCGATAGAGGGCGCATAAACCTTAAATAACCCAGTGGAGCATGAGGAAGTTTTTATGGCTACTCTTAGAGCCTGCTGGTATACAAGTCCCCTGCTGCTGTAATGGGTATCTTTGCCTGTTCTCTGGCAAGATCAGGCCCAAAGTTTGTCTGAATTTTTTACAATAAATGCATATTTTTACCATATTAAGTTTAAAAAGCGTCAAATTTGGGCCCTGTGTCATCCATGATACAGGTCCCAATCCTGTTCCCATTGAATTCCGTGTGTATGACAGGCCCAAAGTATGAGTCTGAGAAACGAGTTTGGAAATCTTAGAATCCTTCTTTTGAGATTTACCCATTTTCTGCATTCCTAACGTATACTTAACCTCTATTAATGTCAATGGGAGTTTTACGTGCATAAAAATTGGATTTTCTTGCCATTTAGCCCTAACTGAAGATGAAATCCAGACTTAAGATTTCTAACTTTTTTGTGACTGTAGTGCATACTTCCCCAAATGAGAGCTGCTTTTCTCAATACAGTAATAAGACATCAGCTGGCTATTCTAGTTCTTCAAACTGAAGTCCATGATAAATGTCCTCCTCTTGAGCAATGCTTAATTTACTGTTATCTACACTTGACTTCTAATAACCCTGTGGACTTCATAATTATTACAACTATTTCATTATAGCCTAAGATATACTGATAAAATATACATATATTTTCAGATGCTAATTTTTGTCACTGTATTTTGCTTCTTCCCTTCCTTCCTTTTTCCTGTAATTTTGATTTATTTAATCATTATTGCTCTGTTCATTTGAATTTATGTAAAAGTTGAACAAATTTTTGATATAATTTAAAGTCAGAGCCTTGCCTCCTGAGTTGAGTGCACCAGTACCCTTATTCAACTTTTAATATGTTTTGTGTTACAGTAGCGAAACTGATATTGTACAATGGTTTCTGACATTTGACTTTATATTTTATGTTAAACATTGCTGTGTAGTATATAAGAATTTTACACTGTCAGATCTAGTTGCTTTTGCATCATCACTTTGCACATATGCCTTAGAAGCTTGCCAGACTAGCATGAGAAAACAACATATCTTTTCAAAATAGAGTTAGACAAGGGTAGAAAAACCTCATGTAGCATTTGATTATGCTGCGTGGGTGTTCGGGCTTTTTCAAATTAATGGTAATGTGCTATTACTCTATACAATGAAACCTGTGCTATGGGCCAATTTCAGCAGATGAACCCCTATCTTAAATGACCACATTCAATATCCAAGAGGTTTCTAGAGAAATTTTGTTCAAAGTTCATTTAGGGCATGATCCAAAGCCAATGAAAGTCAGTGAGAGTTTTTTCATTGACTTAAATGATCTTTGGATCAGGCCTAAAGGCAATTTATAGAAGGCATCCAGTTGTCCCTTAAAGAGTTCCATAAGGGAGGTGTCAGCCCACCCCTTAGCTCAGATTTTTATGTAAGATGCATTTCTACTGCATGTACATGGACTACAACTGCCTTAGAACGCTTGAGGTTACATTTAGCCTAAGGTTCAAAATAAAGGTAGGGGGGAAAACGTTAGTGCCATTTATTTCTCAATGCCACCTTGAATTTGGTTGTAAATCAGTTTTGATTCTGACTAATCAAGTACAACTCCATTATACTAGATGGAAATTAGTTCTACTTATGCCAACCATTCATTTTCAGATTTGGCTCCTATATTTTAGTGAACTCAACAGTATTGACATTTTAATCCTGTGAAATATGGCACCTGCTACTCTTCTTTGCTGAGATCAGAAATCAGGCTGATAGCAGATTAATGATTCATGCCACAATACAAAGGAATAATACTAACGTCCTGGGATTATAAAGTTGTGTATTTTAGCACTAACGGCTATTTCTATAAGTTTTGTCCATCTATATGAAAAAGTTTCAGATTTCTATGCCTTGATAATTATTATTAATAGTTAATTAGACATCCAAGTGCTGTTGAATATAAATGGAACTTTGGCCCAGATCCTCAAAGGTATTTAGGTGCCTAACTCCCATAGAAAATGACTTACAATCTTAAGTCACTTACGTGCTTTTGAAAATGTTATCCCAAAAATATTAACGGCAATTGGTATTTATTCTAAAAATGAAATAATATGAACCTCACTTTGCAGGTGGCATTTTCTGAGGCAATCCACATTCAGAATGTAAGAAGACTTCTCAGCTGACAGTATGGGGCTTGTTTTCAATGACTGACTAACAAATAACTAAAATAGTTTAATGCATATTTCTATGATTGGTGATCAGTTTTGTAAATGGGAAATAACCTGGCATTTGCTTTTAAATGCAACAGTACTCTGAGATCTTTGGGGGATTTTAAGAAATGTGGCAGAAAATCAGGGTGCCTATGAATATTACATCAATTTCTTTCTGCAAGTGAGGAGGCTACTCCCCTCTCCTTGACACCCAAATCTCTCTCACACCCCTCACTCTCCCTAGAGTCCTTCAGGGTTTTGGAGCTCACTTCCCAACTCCTGAGAAGTTCAGAGGGTTGATTACAGTAAACAGGTCCTTACAGTTGTCTGCTCCTAATGAACACTGCTATCTGCCCAGCCCACTTTTATTCTCTTGTCAGAGCTAATAATCTATTGTCAGAAGAGCAGAGAAAGTACATGACCTACCATCCCCTGTCTACCTGCCAAGGCACCAGCCTGTGACAGAGATCCAAAATGGGGGCGAGGGGGAAGCATGAAAAAATTATTATTCAAGAAATGTAAAATCATGTGGTATTCCATCCTTTGGTGTAAATCTCTCTCTTCCTGGGACTCAGCTCTCATGATTCTTCATTTCTGAGGTAAATAATTTTCTACAATACAAGGAGACATCAAATATGTGAAGTGTAGGTAATTCTGGGACCAAACAAGGGATATTTGAGAGGTATGGTGCCACCCAATCCCATAATTCCTCTCCTTCTCTCCAGTTTGAAATGGAGTGATGGTGGTTCGAGTTCCCTCACTTTGAGAGGAACAGAACAAAGTGGGAGATGCACGGATCATGTACTCCCCTCTTCTCCTTCCCTGTGGTGGCTCAAAGTGCTTCAAGGAGTGGTAGGAATGGGCCAGTAGCTCTGCAGGGGGAGCAAAAGAACTCAGGCCCAAATCCTCAAAGATACTTGGGTGCCTAAATCCCATTGATTTCAATGGGTGCATAAATACCTTTGAGAATGTGGGCCTCAGTGCTTAGGACTAGCTTTTTTGTAATGAAACTCCTGAGCTCCTAGAAACCTCCTTTTTCTTACTCCTCTCCCTGGATGGCTGTGTCCTTTCTCTTAGAGAATGCCCCAGATTCTTTGGGTTTAAGAAATTCCCAGTGTAGATGAGGTTTTTATCTTTACCTACCACAAGAAGGAAACGACAGAGGGCCAGTCAGGGCCCCCAGATCATTTAACATTAATATGTATTTTAAATCAAGACCACGATTGTCTGTGTACTCATTTGCATCATCATTTAAAAAAATGAGTTGGGGGAAAAAAAGACCAGCTAACGTTTACAGATGAATAAAATGTTCATTTGCAGATAGAAACGGCAGCTACAATATTTTTCTGTCAAACTTTAGGGGAAAATGCCTGGATCTGAAGAAGGTTTCTGACCACGGGAGGAGTGAGATTCTGGAACAGTCTTCCAATAGGGGGCAAAAAACCTAACTAGTTTTCAGAGCAAGCTGGACAAATTTATGAGTGGGATAGTATGATGGATTGCATATGGTGTGAGGGTAGAGCTCAACGGTTCTGAGAGTCCCTTCTGGATTATGTCTTAAATTCCTAAAGCTCATGCTTCAAGGTTTCAGCTGGTCACTTGCAGGGGTCAGGAAGGGATTCCCCTCCCCCCCCCACAAAATGTGGTCAGGGGGTTCATTAGGTCTTACTCTGAAGAATCAGAGATGGTTTCAACTGGAGATGGGATATTTGACAGGGTAGGGCAGGGCTCTGAAGTGGCACAAAGCACTCTCTCTCTCAGGTACGTGGCTAGCTGGTTCTTGCTCATTTGCTCAGGGTTTAACTGATTGCCATATATGAGGTCAGGAAGGAACTACCCTTCTTCCCCCCCTCCCCCCATCCCCTCCCCCAAACCAGATTGGCAGAGACCTTGGGAGTTTTTAGCCTTCCTCTTCAGCGTGTGGGTGCAGGTTACTTTCCAGGATCATCTGATTATATCTCACCTCATCATCTCCCTGCCTTTGCAGAGGCCTCAGGCACTGGTGCACCTCAGTCCCTCTATTCTCTCCCTGTGGCACATAACAGTCTAATCTCTGGTGGGCTGTAATACTTTTGGTCTAATTTTGGTTGTTGGGTGCTGGGTGCAGTTGGTGGCCTGTGATGTACAGAAGGACAGACTAGATGATCTGGTGGGTCCCTTCTAGCCTTAAATTTTATGAACTGCTTCCTACTAAGTTCCTTGAGGTGCAGTAGGCTATGAGTGAACTGCAAGCTACAATATGTTGTACAAAGATGGTCCTGGTACTGAAAGTTTTAGGTCCATGTATGGATATCTATAATATAGGAATAACATGAGAGAAAAAGGTGGAGAGGGCCATATATGTTTCTATGTGTATTTTATATAGATCTCACTGTCAAGTATTGTTTAAAAAACAGCTCTTTCTCATAGTCTTGATGTTTTCAGAAGGCTACAGATGTGATCAAAGGTGATCAAAGCCTGAGAACAGCATGAAAGCAATATTTACAGCATCAGGCATACAGCATGCAAACCAGCGAAAGCAGTCTTTGAGCTCACTTTCCAAGCATGGGCATCTTAGTTCCTTGGACTAATAACAGCCCTTAGATGCCCAGATACCCATTTTATGTGCCCAAGTGCCTATCTGAGATCCCAAATGTGGAAATGGCACACACACACTCTCACATTTTGGGAAATAGGGATACCCATGTCAATTGGCTAACACATCGGATACCATCAGTCAGCAATGACTTGCTCCATGTTTGCCTTGTGATTAAATCATCCTATTAACGGGAAACAAATATTTCATATGTTAAGAGAAAAGTATTGCTACAGGACAAGATCTTTCACACCCCTTGAGGGGGTGGGGAAAGACTAGGGATCCCACAGTGAGAGACTCGTAATGAGAGCTATGGCAGAGAACCATTGGCCTTGGAGTGAGAATGTGACAGACTAAAAATTTGCACTGCCACAAATTGAAGCCATTTCTACCCCCCAGCACTCAAGAGCTCACATATTCAAGCCAAAGGGCAGTGATTTCCCCTGTAAACTAAATATTGCAGGTCATATATCTTTTATTTTACTTTTTTTTTAATGGCAAGAGAACAGCAACCAGTGCCTCAGGCACCTCCTGAGCATTCTCACACATCTTGCCTTCAATAAACTTTTTTCTCTCTGTCCTTTTAAAAAAAGAAAAAATAATAATAAAAAAGCTGCTTTGCCCACATTGTTCCCTGTGCCTCCAAGCAAGGTCCCTCATCCCCATGGAGGTACATCTAGCCTCTGGCAGGATAATTTCTGCTGGCTTCCTTTCAAGTGCCACAATAGCTATGCCACAAAGATGCCAAATACACATGCGACCTTGGAAGACACAAAAATTAACCATCTTTAGGAACAACGGGAGTCAGGTCAAAGTAGGGCACAGTAGGTGAAGGAAGGGGAAGAGGAGCTGTAAATGGTCTGGTCTAGAGGTCGGACCAAATCATTATCCTGAATCCAACCCCCCTGAACTACGGGGAGAGGTTTGAAATCCAAACTGGGATTAAGTGTCTCCTAGCTTTATAATGAACCAAGCCAAAAACCTTGCCTGCAAGCTCCTCCTGTGATGTTGTCCAAGATCCAAATCTGAAATTTGTGGCTTGAACCATGGGCTCCCAAACACAATTGGGAGAGACACAATTAGGTGACCTCAATTGCTAGCCTGTTGATTTAAGACATGACTGACAAGTGAACATGTCAATCCTGCTGAGCTATTTGAGGTTACGTGACCTTGTCTCTGACCATTTGGTTGCATTTGTCAATTTAAGGGTATAAGCTTGGATTCATTTACAAGATTGTCTAAAAACCTTGTAAGCCCATAGCTCTATTCAGTATCTACCCTTACAAAACTGTTTTGCCTTTGCTGTAAATCAGGAAAACAAATTCATTGTAATTGTATTTTAAACTGTAGGTGTAAATTTTAACTTGTGTTACTTTAGCTTCACTTATAGCCTCAAAATAATAGGCGTCCTCTGTGAACTTTACAGGGCAATAATGGTATGTACTGTATAAATAAACGTACTACTTCAAGGACTAGTATACCATACAGTACAGTTGTCTAAACTTACTTTGAAAATTGCATGGCTAGCTTATGCAGTAGCTAGATAAGTGACAAGGTGGCAATGTTAATCTCTAAGGAGAATACAGTAAATATGCTTAAATATTTTATTTACTTAATTGAAGCATTCTGTAGTCTCCAAGCTCAAATGTGAGAAGCAGGGGTAACTTCTCATTGTCTTTCTTACTCCAAACTTAATATCCCTCACACACATTTACAGACACGTAGCATATAGATAGTGGCATAGCTTAGGCCTGTTGTATAGGTCAATATCTACAATGCACACATGAGAATATAAAATTTGTCACTGCAAAAGAGAGTAGTTGCAAAGTCTATTTTGGATTACCAATTTATATTTGAGGAAACTAATGTGCGGTCATTTCTAGAAACTGTGAACACAAGGCAATTGCTGCATGCTTGTATATTTAATGAGTTTTATTATGATACACTCTTATACGAATGCCTATGCAGTGTAAATGCTTTAATATGAGAATACTGAATTTTTTTTAGACTTTATTTTCGAAGAATGCTACATTTTATTGCATGATTTAACCATTGTTATTTTTTGTGTTTGTATAAAGTGCAACCAAGAAAACATATGATTTTAATAGCTTACTATATAATAACTGCTTAGATCCATTATAGAACATGTTCTTATGTAAACATTTTTAAACTTGGCAAGAAATGTGCTTCCTTCAAACAATGGGCTTGGTTCACAGCAATACCTGCTTAGTTAGTGTTTGTATTTGTAACATCATTGAATCTGTCAATGGGGCTAACCACCTTGCAGAAAACCAATCTGTCAGTAAGTACTGGTTTTGCTAAAAAAAACCCAACAACCTCATAATGAAGTTACTAGCTGTAGAAATAGACAAGGCCTGTCCTAACTCAATTTAAATAATAATGCTCTAATTTACGTTGTTCTGTTGAGAGGCCAAAACTGAGGAGTGTTATGTTTGGTTCAGCCAGCTGACGGGCAGTGTAGCATTTTTTTTTAAATATTTTTTTTCATAAGCTTAATGCAATGAGTTGGTGTTATCTGATTGTGAACTTGGCCCATTGTTTACAGCATTACTGAACGTAACCAAAGTTCAGCATACCTGATTGACTTGAGCTGACATGCTGACTTGAAAGAAGAGAGAATATTTCTGGTACAGCCGTACATTTGGAACCTGAGTATATCACTGGCTAAGTGAGCGAGTTGGTCATGGTATTGCTATCAGTGTTTGAAGGTGCGTAATATATTTATACTGCTGCAAACTAAGTTACCAATTAGAACACTCAATCAAATAAAAAATAATGCATTGCTTTAAAGGTATGTAAATATTGATTTTAATGCTGGGGTATCATAGCCATCAGTTTTTCACTGCTTTGATAACCAAGGATTCCTAATATTACATGGAATGTATTTCATCTGGGGTCTTTTTTAGAATCAAATGTTTTCATTCAAAGCAAAATATCTACTGTTTCTTTGTATTTCACTGAAATAAACGAATCCCGTTTCAATATATTATGCTTTCCTATTCGTTTCCAAGTTATTAGAGCTGGCACTCACTTAACCTAGCTTGGATTCATGTATCTTCGCCCTGTGGTTTCCAATCATTGGTTCACACACTGGTACTCTTAGTCCAGGTATTTGTGACTGCTACTGGAGGCTTCCCCTCCTTATCTTAGGGCCCAGTTCTTTCACCCACACTCAAAGTGAGTAGTTTCTCAGTCCATGAGCAGTCTCAATGAAACCAGTGAGAGGAAAGGTGACAGACTCTGACCCTTAATGATACATCTCTGCGTTGGGCCTGGCTACACCATTATTACCTTCATCCCATTCATGTGTCTGCACTCTGGCTCACAGTGGAGTTTGGGCTTCTCTGAGTCTGTCCTGCCAGCCTAGAGAGGACTTGCTTATGGGTAGGGCTGTACCAAATTCACTGTCCATTTTGGTCAATTTCATGGCCATAGGATTTAAAAAATCATAAATTTCATTATGTCAGCTATTTACATCTGAAATTTCATGTAGGGGTCCTGACCCGAAAAGGAGTTGTGTGTTTGGGGGAGGGGGGTGGTCGCAAGGTTATTGTAGGGGGGCTGTGGTACTGCTGCCCTTTTCGTCTGCACTGCTGCTGGTGGTGGCTCTGCTTTCAGAGCTGGGCTCCTGGCCAGCAGCTGCCGCTCTCCAGCTGCCCAGCTCTGAAGGCAGCACCGCGGCCAGCAGCAGCGCAGAAGTAAGGATGGCATTGCTACCCTGATTTTTGCTCTGCTGCTGGTGGGGCACTGCATTCAGAGCTGGGCGCCCAGCCAACAGCCATTGCTCTTGTAACCCCTGTGACGGGATCACAGAAACCCCCTGGGAGCTGCCAACTGATGTGTCAAGACTACTTCTGCCCCTGCTTTCCCTGCCCTCCCAGCTTGGGACTTCAGTGCCCTGCCTGGTTTGAGCCAGACCCGCTAGCCTGCTGCAAACCCAGACCCAGGTCTGAACCACGTACCCTAACAGCTGTATGCTTAATTGAAAGCAGCTTAAGAAGTGTTCCTGTCTTTAACACTCACATGCTTAACTCCCAATGGGGTCCAAACCCCAACTAAATCCATTTTACCCTGTATAAAGCTTAGACAGGGTAAACTCATAAATTGTTCGCCCTCTATAACACTGATAGAGAGAGATGCACAGCCGTTTGCACCCCTCCCCCCGCCACCTCGCCAGGTATTAATACATACTCTGGGTTAATTAATAAGTAAAAAGTGATTTTATTAAATACAGAAAGTAGGATTTAAGTGGTTCCAAGTAGTAACAGACAGAATAAAGTGAATTACTGAGTAAAATAAAATAAAACCTGCAAGTCTATGCTTAATACAGTAAGAAAACTGAACACAGAAAAAACCTCACCCTCAGAGAAGTTCCAGTAAGCTTCCTTTTACAGACTAGTCTCCTTCTAGTCTGGGTCCAGCAATCACTCACACCCCCTGTAGTTACTGTCCTTTGTTCCAGTTTCTTTCATGTATCCTTGGGAGTGGAGAGGCTATCTCTTGAGCCAGCTGAAGACAAAATGGAGGGGTCTCCCAGCGGTTTAAATAGACTTTTTCTTATGGATGGATACCCCTCCCTCCCCCTGAGTAGAATTTCAGCTACAAGACGGAGTTTTGGAGTCACATGGGCAAGTCACATGTCCATGCATGACTCAGAACTTACAGGTAGCAGCCATGGTTCACATGCTACCTTGAACGTCCTCATGTAGACTTCTTCTTCCAAGATCCATTGTCTGTTAAGTGCTTCTTGATTGGGCACTTAACTTGTAAATTCCTTTCTAAAGAAGCTGACCAAATGCCTTACTAAGGCTATTTAAAATCAAACAAGTATACAGCCAATATTCATAACTTTGAATACAACAATGACACATGCATACAAACAGAATGAATAGATTCAGTAGCTCATAACCTTTACAGAGATATGTTACATGGCCTATGTAGCATAAAACATATTCCAATGTCATATATACATTCATAAGCATATGTCTATAGAGCCTTATGGGGTGCACCGTCACAACCCCCCTGCAACTCTCTTTTGGGTTAGGACCCCCCAGTTTGAGAAACGCTGGTCTTCCCCTTGAAATCTGTATAGTAGAGGGTAAAAGCACACACAAAACCAGATTTCACAGGAGGAGACCAGATTTCATGGTCTGTGATGCATTTTTCATGGCTGTGAATTTGGTAGGTCCCTACTTACGGGGGAGGGAGGGCACTGTACCATGGTCCTATCCCCAGGTGGTCATGTACTACTACTAGAAGAAAGCTCATAAAGCTAAAGAGAAATCATAAGGAAGAAGAGAGGTTCCTAGATTTTAAGGCCAGAAGGGACCATTATGGTCATGTACTCTGATCCTCCTGCATAACACAAGCCAAAAAATCCTCACCCCATAATTTCTGCACGAAGCCCATAATGTCTGTGTGAGCTATCACATTCACGTCTTTTAGAAAGAGCAAGAGAGAGACAACAAATCTTGTGTGAGTAGAGTCTGGGATAAAAACCGCAGCATCCTCTGCTGTAGTCTTTTCAATTAAGAAATCATCCAGAGAGCTCCCTTATCAGCATGCCACAAGAAGGTGAAGAAGGGCATCTCTAGCTGAGGACCCAAATTGCTTCACATGCCTCGCTCTTATACAAACTGTCTGACCAGGCTTGTGCTCCATTTCCGTAGCCGTAGAATTATGCCTCTGGCACAAAGCACCTCTCAAATAGACATTTTCTACAGGCTAAGATTGCTTCTTGCAGTATGATTGAAAGTACACAAACAAGATTCGTGGTACAGAGCAATCTCTGCTCCTGCTATGTTTGTTACTACTTTGGAAGCCTGGTTTGAGGACAGAATATATACATTTGATTGCCTGTCTAACACTTAAGTGGCAATAAATTCCATTCAAACATGAACTTTTTCAGAGGTTCCAAGCAGTTCCATTAAATGTTTCGGGGGGGAGAGAGATATGGGGGGTGCAATGGAGACAGGATGGTCCCCCAACATGGTCTCTATCTTGCTCTTTGCCACCTTCTAATGCATCACACTGCTCCCCCCCACTCTCCATAATCTTGCAGTAGTCCCTGTTGACTTCCACTCAATGACATACCCCTCAGCTGAATTAAAAATCTTGTATATTCTTCATGAAGCTGTACACTTGTGTGCTTACTGCCTGAGAGCACTTTAAAGGACCATATGGATTGAATAATCCTAGGCGAGACTGAGGGAAAGTCTCATAATACTGCTATCCTGATAATACTGCTATCCTGAGTGCACCACTGACCATTAGACCTTGTGAACATTTGGGAAATCTGCCTGTACAATTTATGAATTATGTGTAAAATTATGAATCCACTGCATGTAGCTGTACCAATCTGCAAACTTTTTGAATGTGCAGCCCTTTGCCCTCTCTATTGTCATCTTACCTCCATGTTGGACTGAAATTCCCAAAGGTAGTGTCAAAGAGGGCTGACTATAGATGATCATTAACTCTAGAGGGTCCTCTATTCAAAATCAAACACCCTACATAATAAGCTGACTCCCACTCAGGAGAACTGGTTTGTCAGGGGGAGAGGATATCTGGCAACAAAGTTGTGTGGTAGAACTCTGTGATCTGGGAGTCTCCTGACTAAGGGGCTAAAAGGTTGTAAGAGGACTCAATGGGGGGAAGCTTCAGGGAGACACATACACAGGGCCTTTGGGCCAGAGAAGCAAAGGGAACGGTCCAGCCACCAGAGGAGCCAAGTTGGGGGAGAAGGCTCCATGTTTCAGAACCCAAGCACTGTGAATAGAAGGACTCTGGATGGCCACCGATGACTCTGAGTCCAGCCCAAAGAATGCTCTGGGCTGAGGAAGAAATTGAGGCAGGGAAAGGGGGTAGGGTTTATTTTTGTATAGAACTATGTATTTCCTGTGCTGTTAAAGAAAGAGCAATGATGTGATAGAATCCTATGTACCATGTCTGTGTGTGTATAACTTACAGTTACTCTGTGGCCCCTTGAAGAGTTACATCAGCAGGTTCACACCTTCAGGTGGAGTTCTGGGAGAGGGTATGGTTAAGCTACAGGAGAAGCCTTACATGCCAGCACTGGTTCCAGGGGCTGGGTAATGGGCCATGTGGCCTAAGTGTAACCCACACGTCTCCTGGGTGTGGTGGTCTGTCCCATCTATTGGCACCGAGACCACTTAGAGAGAGAGAGAGAGAGAGAGTTAAATGAGTCTGCTCTACAGTCTTAGCTAACAGGCATACTGCTTTTAGCCATGCAGTGGAGGCTTATGCGCTAAGCTTTAGAGGTCCCAAATTCTATCTTGCCCACCGCTGACCAGGGTCTGTTGGTGTTACATAAGCTCTTAGCAGAGGGTGCAGATAGAAGTGCGCCCAGAGGCTCTAAATCAGGAAGAGTACCTGGGCTCCATTCAGACTGCAGATGCTTAAAACACCTGGAGAGCTAGCTGTGGCTGGATTCCCTCACAGCTGCTGGTGAGTGGGGTCTACAGGAGGTGCTTGATTGAAGCTGTGAAAAGGCTTCCCCTGAGAACACCTGAAGAGCATCCTGATACCTGCAGACTAGGGAATAACATTATAATACCTAGTAGGGCACCTAGATAAAGCCTAAGCTTTCTGTGGCTCATCCATTGTTCAAACATATTTCTATTAGTTACCATTTTGGTCAGCAGAAGGTTTTTAACCCCAATTACTACTTTATGATTGAGCCATCATAGCTCTGTGACGCTGTTCAAGTTATAGATCCATGTTATGTATTTTGTGCTGTGTGATCCACCTCTCCTTCTTCTATTAGGATTTGATTTGTGTGTGTGAGAAAGAGAGCAGAGCACCACATTATACAAAACCACTGTAAGACCCATCTCCAGGACCTCAACCTGTGCGTGGGCTGTAATAATATCTTGTGGCAAGGTTGTACAGACAGTGCGTTTATGAGAAATTGTTTATTATGTAGTTTGTAGGTTTAAGAAGTCTAGTGGTTTGAGTACAGCCCAGTGA